TTTTCACCTATTGCATTTTCTTTAAAACTATCCCTACACGCAAAATTGAGATTCTAATATGGATCTAATTTGTCACTTTGGTTGTCTTACGTCAGCACTGAAACTGCTCTTTAAAACTTGCACCACTTGCAACTACAATTTTTATCCTGCACCACTCTGAACTTGTTGTAATTTTGTATTTTCTGTCACTTTAACTTTTTTATTTGCCGCAATTTGCCAACTTAACAACTCCGTGATCTGGGCTTGAAAGATCGCCTGTTACAGCGCTCATGGGCCTTTACCCCAAATCATCCGACGATACCCGAGATCGTTTTTATTCGCCGTTTTTTCGGGTATATCCGATTTCTACCGCATATATTGAAGGGTTTACTAAAGCCAAGGTTGCAAAGACTCATTTCAGCTAAAATAATGTTTTTCGGAATAATAAAACCAAAAGATGGTATGATGGCATGTTTTACTTGTAACTTACAAGAAGAGGTTACAAAGTATGCGTTGGAAACATAAAACCTGTAAATTTTGCTTTCTATGAATCACAATCAGCGATTTGCTGATCGCTGAGTGAGTGAGTGAGTAAGTGAGTGAGTTTGTGAAAAATCGCTGATTGTGACTCTCATGAAGTGAAATAAACAGGTTTAATATGTCAAACACATTCTTTGCAACCTCTTCTTGTATCCTACCAATTCAAAATTTGATCATGGCATCTAATTATTTCATAATTTAGAAAAACATTGTTTTAGCTGAAATGAGTCTTTGCAACCTTGACTAAAGCCTCTACTGTGGAATCGCAACAAGGAAGGATCAGAGACGCGGAACGCGATGTTGCTACACGGAGAAAGTATTGCATGCATTTAATTATTTTTTCCTTGCTGATTTTGTTTATTATTTGTTTACTTGTAACATCGTTACAAGGTCATCATCATCATGCGCACCTGCAAGACTCGATCTGAATAGCTACATGCTGCCCTGCCCCTTGTCACTAAGTATGGACCGTGAAGTCATCAAGATCGTAAATTGGTATGCTTACACCTTGAAGAGCAAAAACATCTCAACGAACGGCACATCGACATCCGTCATCACCGAGACTCACTTGAAGCCCGAGCTGAACGTCTTCCTTCCCGACTTTCGGCTAGTAAGGCTTGACCGCACCAGCTCCGGGGGGGGGGGAGAGGTCATCGCTGCGAGACGGAACATCAGCTGCCGGCTATTGCCAAGCTTCCAGCTGAAAACTATCGAAGCCATCGGAGTTGAGGTGAGCACATCGCTTGGTCCAATCACCATCACCGCGGTTTACTGCCCCAAGCAAACCAACATTAGGGACGGCTCGGCCGCAGACCTCCGAAGAGACATCATCAAGCTAACACGACGGCGGCAAAATTTCATCATCGCTGGCGGCCTGAACGTCAAGCATCAAGCCTGGGGCAATAGTCGGCGAAACCAGAACGGCACAATCTTGTACAACAATCTGCAGGAAGCCCACTACAACATCCTGTGTCTGGACACTCCCACCCGGTTGAGTCGATCCGGAGCTCATGCCACCATCGACATCTTCATCAGCAACATTGGCGATAACATCTCTCAACCTATCGTCTATCAGGAACTAAGCCGAACCCCATTCGTAGACAGTTCCAGCGTTCTGAGCTGCCCCATTTGAAGACCAATGTCAATAGGCTAACCAAAATTATACAGGCCAGGACGGTGGACCTCAGAAATAACGATTTTGCCAACAAGATTCGCTCTCTCCCAGATTGTTCAAAACCATTTTGGAAGATGACCAAAATTTTGAAAAATAAGTCGAGACCGATCTCTCCGCTTTTCTCGGTTGACCAGAACTCGGACCCATCCCTACTGATAACCCCAGTTGAAAAAGCCAATGCTCTTGGCCAACATTTTGTGATTTCACATAATCTTGGTCAAACCATGGTGAGCCCCCATGGGCCTGCCGTACTGGAGGCAATGACTAGAGTCGCTGACACCCCCGTAGTAGTGCATGATGGTAGTAGAATATCGGCTGATAGCAGCTTTTAGAAGTACTAAAAACATGAAGGCTGCGGGTATGGATGGTGTAGTCAACCTCGAGTTGAAAAACTTGAGTATTGACTTCTTCAACCATCTTACCGTTACCTTCAACAAATGTTTGGAGCTTGGCTACTTCCCTGCATGCTGGAAGTTAGCCAAAGTGATTCCAATACACAAGCCTGGCAAAGATCCTACCAGTGCCAAAAGCTATCGCCCCATCAGCCTCTTGTCCTCCATCTCGAAGCTATTCGAAAAGTTGATACTCAGCCGGTTGCTGGAGTTCTCCAACGAAAATAACATCTTACTCAAGTAGCAATTCGGGTTTAGGAAAGGTAATTCAACGATCACCAACTAAGTAGAGTTACTAATATCATCAGGCGGAACAAGTCCGTTTCAAAAACATCTGCTATGGCATTGTTGGACGTCGAGAAGGCGTTCGACAATGTCTGGCATGATGGTCTAGTGTACAAGCTGCATCGATACAACTTTCCGATCTACCTCGTGAAGATCATCAAAAACTACTTGTCGGGCAGATCATTCCAGGTCTACTTCAACAATGTCCCCTCTGATACGTTCAACGTTTATGCAGGGGTCCCTCAGGATAGCCTGCTTGGGCCTATCCTATTCAACATTTTCACGTCAGACGTTCCTCCCCTGCCGGGTGGTGGTATCCTGTCAATGTTCGCAGAAGACACCTCCATCATCTATAAGGGTCGATTGATCCGTGCTCTGGCGAGTAAACTACAATCAGGCTCAGGCAGAACATCGTCCGACTATTTCAAGAGCTGGAAGATTTGTATCAATGCAGCTAAAACACAAACCATTCTGTTTCCACACTCGAATTCACCTCGGCTTGTTCCGCCTGCTAACGTCAAAGTCCATCTTGATAGGACGCCCATTGAATGGTCGAGTGAAGTAGTCTACCTTGGTCTCACCCTCGATAGCAAATTGCTATTCCGATCCCATGTGGACAAGACATCTACCAAGTGTAACATCTTGATCAGGTCGCTCTACCCTCTGATAAACAGGAAGTCCATCCGGTCCTATAAAAATAAAAACTCTGCTTGGAGTCTTCGTGGTTTATTTTCTACTCTCTAGATTCTTGAAACATAGATGTTAACGACTACCGCTTAGCTGTATCGGACCGTTGCTATGCTGTCATCGTTCTAACCGAGACTTGGCTCGATTCTCGAACGCTCTCCAGCCAGGCGTTTGGACGCGAGTATGAAGTCTTTCGCTGCGACCGAAATCCTAAAAACAGTCGGAAATCTAATGGAGGTGGTGTTCTTGTGGCAATCCGTTCCGGTTTGAAGACGAGAGATTTAGAAAATGACGTGTGTGACTTTGCGGAACAAGCATGGGTTGCCGTTGAACTGAGTGATCACACACTGTCAAACTTTCATAGCGAATCAAAACAAACATTGCGTGGTACTAGAATTTTGACTAGAATAGGGTACGTTAATTGTTTGCTTGGGCTAGTCAAGTAGTGAGCCAATTTAAAATCGTTAGTTTCGTATTGATTGTTGCCAATACACTCCACAGTTTTCTTTCTCCATTTTCTTGCATTGGACCGCAGCTCGGTAAATCTGATGAAGAGTCCCCAAGGGATAAATCACTCAGCACATTGTGCCGAAATTAGATTCGGCACAGCTTGGGGACATCCATCGGCACACCTTCGGTCTCGCCTTCGGCACAACTCGTAGGGATTGGATTGTTGTAAATACAATGAGAACACTGCTGAACAATTTTCATTGAAGACGTTCACAACATTACGTGCTGTTTGACTGTATATTCAATTCAGGAACATCCTCTAATTGAATATACCAGAGGATCAGCAGTTCAATTCTCGGTTCACCTATAGATTTAAATCCGAAATGTAGGTTACTACATAAGTACATACTATAAGTAGGTTACTAAATAAGTACAACTACATAAGTCATACTCATCATCATCTATAGTCGGTCTCCAACAATGTTCCCCACCGGTTCCAACTCTCTCCCGCCGTTGTAAGACCGTTGCTTTTCACATCACGAAATGTTAGGTTTCTGGTCTGCCTTTGAGGGCATTACAAAGCACTAAAACACAAAACTTGTAATACCCTATGAACACAAATCACCAACATATTGCACACCCGCCAGTTCGCCACCCGTGCACGTCATCCTCAAAGCGATCCTTGCGGTTTCAAACCAAAACATTCAAGGTGTCAGAAATACCGGGTTTCCGGGGTGGGTATTTTACAAACAATCGCATCTTGCTTTATGACCGGCATAATCTAAGAGGAAGAGGTGACAATTGACTCCTCTTTTATTTCTATCTCTATCCCTATCTTTATCTATCTCTATCTCTATCTTACGCACATAAAATCAGCCAATCAGGAGCTGGTTCACGTTTGACAGAAAAGTGGTTCATTTTCGCCCCCGTATTGTCACCTCTTCTCTTAGGGCATAATCGGTACACTTGTGGCACACTGACAAAAAAGATGACCCAAGATTGGTGTGCGGAGTGACCTATCCTTGTGAATCTCACCAAATTGTAATCAAATCTTACATCACAGACAAACAGACATAACTCATTAAATATTTCTCATTGTAAAACATCGTCGCTAAAACATTACCGCCATCTGTTGAGTACACTATGGTGGGTAGTACGCAGAACAGATGGCGGTAGTGTGTAAACGTAAGGGAATTTACTATGCGCGCCACAGATGGTGGTACTACCAACTAAGATACTTTGAAATTTACCGTTAAACGCTTGTTCGATGAACAACTTGCGAGTGTTATGTCTGTTTGTCTGTGCTTACATCCTCGGCTGGTGCATAAATATTAATACTCTTATCACGTCGAAAAGCGCTCCTCCCGCTAACGGCTTTCATACGTCAATAGGAAAGCGCAAAATGAGAAGCTGTTTAGTTTCGTATTCGCCATAATAATAGCGCTTAATTCAGAAAACAATAATAAATCGTTTCTCATCTTTTTGATCCCTAGCGTACTGGCATGCCCCTCGTCGCAGAACAAGCAGGCGTCCCCATTAACGGCTGGAGCTACTCCCGGTTCGGTGTACGATTTCAGTGCAGTAGATATCGATGGGAACAAGGTCGATATGGAACGCTACCGGGGCCACGTACTGATCATCGTCAACGTGGCATCCAAATGTGGCTATACCGCTAGGCATTACAAGGAATTTAACGAACTGTATGCGGAATATGCCGACAAGGAAGGTGAGGTTTTGAGCTGAAAGTTTGTCTGGTTTCAGTAAATAAATACGTAAATAAACAAAATTTGGTGAACAATAAAGTTCAATTACAGCTGTCATTCTGACAGTGCAACATACGGCGCTGGTGGTGTAGTGGCTAGCGTGACTGCTTTCTCACCCTTAATCTGAGTTCAATCACAGTCGAGGTCTTTGGGATTGTTCTGAGGCGAAAACATCTCTGGGAAACGTCTTCCTTCGGAAGGGAAGTAAACCCGTTGGTCCCACCCCATTTGTTGATGCGATGCCTTCCAAGTGTGAAAGCCGCTTCCTGGCGTTCGTCAATGGATGGCAATCCATGCACATCGGTGATTGGCACTCGATTACGGTGAGTGCCAGTGACCGCCGGTAAGGTGATGCTCTAATGCTATGTTCACACTACAGAGCAGGCTTTGAAATGCTCATTACAGCTAAAATACTACTTTTAGAAATTATTAAACTTTGAGATATTATAATATATATTTTTTTTTTTTATATGTAAGGTGCAAGAAGAGGAGGTAAATTTTGTGCATGACGCATTAAACCTGCCAATTTTGCTTTCAAAGAGTCACAATTAGCTATTTTAGCTAATTACTAATTGTGATACTCTAGAACCGAATTAACGACGTTTTTCTTGTCGATAATTACTATAACCATAGAGGTAACTCTAAGACCACTGGGTCCCGAAGAAAATCATTATTATTTTTGGCTCACTCAGTACCAGAACAACGGTCCCAAGCAGTCCCAAGCTATTTCACTCACCCCTGCATGTTCTGCATGAATCCACACACCCCTGATGTTATCTGTCAAACTTTCATAGCGAATCAAAACAAACATAGTGTAGTAATAGAATTTCAACTAGAATAGGGTACGTTAATCGTTTGCTTGGGACCAATAGGCTACTAAAGTGGTGAGCCAATTTAAAATCGTTAGTTTCGTATTGATTGTTGCTATAACCATAGAGATAACTCTATGACCAGAAGGTCCCGAAGAAACGTACTCAACTTTTTGTCTCAGCTCTGGTACTATATTCGGTCTCAAGCTTATCGATGCAGCCCTCAAAACAAACATAGTGTAGTATTAGAATTTCGACTAGAATGGGGTAAGTTTATCGATTTGCTTGGGACCAATAGGCTAGTCAAGTAGTGAACCAATTAAAAATCATTAGTTTCCACCGGTTGCTATAACTCCCTTGTAACACGTTATAGCTCTGTAGCAACAATCAATATGAAACTATCGATTTGAAATTGGCTCACTACTTGACTAGCCTATTGGTCTCAAGCAAATCGATTAACGTACCGCATTCTAGTCAAAATTCTAGTACTACACAATGTTTGTTTTGATTCGCTATGGAAGTTTGACAGATAAAATGAGGGGTTAGTGGAATTTCCTATGTTTCGAGGGGTGAATCGATTAGCTTGGGACCGAAGATAGTACCAGAGCTGAGCCAAAAAGTAGAGCTCGTTCTTCGGGACCTACTAGTCTTAGAGTTACCTCTATGTCTGTAGTCTGAACAACGCATAAGGAAGCCTTAGTGTGAAACTTCAAAACCACAAATGTCAGCTCCCACAAAACATAAAAAAAAAGAAATTGCTACTCCTTGGATGCTGCGCTACAACGAACAGAGAGTAGCTATTTCATTATTGTATGTTTTGTGCAAGCTGAAATTTGTGCTTTTGAAGTTTTTCGCTAAGGCTTCCTTAGAGTATCACCTTAAATAAATTAATTAAGAAGACAATGCATTGCATTGCCAAGATGACGTGACGTAATTACTTGCAAAAGTTATTTTGAATGAAAATGTCGTTATTTAAGCATTATATCCTACGTTACAAAACAAACAAAAGAAGTCGTACAGATTACCCAGCAGGAAACTATTTCAAATTGGCACCCTTTTGGTCGTAAACTGTTCCAGTGATGCTTGCTCCTGGGAATGCTGAAGCCAATCCCCAAAAAACTGTAAACGTAAAGCATGCAATCACGTGCACCAAAAGTGCTACCAACTGAAGACGAAAATATCACATCAGCTTCTTGAAGCAGGAGAACTCTATTGGCAATAATTCGATTAGAACGAATGTGTGGCACTGGAAACATACATGCTGCTGCTTCAGCATTTTCACGTTTCACTTGACGCACACGTGCTTCCATTAAGCATCACAGAGCGACTCCAATGGAGTGGAAAACTGAACCAGCAAAGTAGACGTCTAAAAAATGTTTTCTTCGGAAGGCAGAAAACTTTTACACAAACAAAATCTTAATGATTCTTGACAAGAGTTACCAATATTCAACATTATTGAACCATTCCCATTTTCTCCACTTTTTCGCAGGACTCCGCATTTTGGCTTTCCCGTCCGATCAGTTTAACCAGGAACCAGATAGCAACGAGGAGATCAAGCGCTTTGCCAGGGACAAGATGGGTGCCAAATACGATCTGTTTTCCAAGATTTACGTCAACGGAGATGAAACGCACCCGTTGTGGCAGTTTCTGAAGCAGCGTCAGGGTGGAACACTGATCGATGCGATCAAATGGAACTTTACCAAGTTCATTGTGGACAAGAACGGGCAACCGGTGGAACGACACGGACCGCAGACCAGCCCGCTCGAGTTGCGGGAGAATTTGAAGAAGTACTTTGCGCAGTGAGGTGACGTAGAGGTTTTATCTTAGATTTAGAAGAGTTCCCAAATAAATACGACAGTGTATGTATTGTATGTATGGATCAGCTTTCTATTTGATGACATTTCATTTGCAAACTTGTGTTATATCCTCCAATGACCTTAGTTTTTAGTTATTTTGTAATTTGACATTTCACATGATGGTTTTTGGTTTTATATTCTTGCTACATCCCCTGGGACACTCAGAATATGTTCTTGGCGCCCTGGACACTCAATCACCGACAAACCGACATGAAACTTAAATTTGACTCTTGATCGAGAATGCATAACGGACGATTAAAATGTGCAGCGTTCCCATCTGTCAAAACCATAGAAATGTTTTATCTAGATAAAAATAATTTGTCTGAAATGCACTCAGAAATATTACAAAACGATTATAGATTAAATTTTATGTATTTTATGGTTTTTCAAAATTTATACATTGGTTCGATTAAAATTTTCGTCAAAATTATACTAAGTCCGAATAACGGAGTGGAATTCGATCAGTGTTTACTAAAATGACAGGAAAAAGAACATCTGGATTCCCTTCGGAGCTTCGTGCTGGTGAAGAGCTTCGTCCCGGTGGATTTCTACTGCGCTTGTGATCTGCTGGGTAGCATCGAAATTGTAAGTATTTTTTTTTAAATAATATTCATAAAAAAATAAACTAATTAAAAGCTTCCTGAGACAATTTTAATTTTAATGTGAAAACAATCATATTCACCATAAATAAAATAAAGAAGCAAAAAATACATTCTCTCGAATAAACCTATCTACGCATTGTAAGCTCAACTAACAATTTTCACAATGTAAACGCTTTACTCATTTCATTTATACAGTCTCAAGCTGTATTCAAACGTTATACGTTATGAGGAAACCTTTACTCAACCTCTATACAAGCAAATCTGGCGAACTTAGTCAGCTACTTATGACTGTTGGAACGGTCGGGAGAAGCTCTTATTGCATATCCATTAACGCTTCTATACAGCTGTTATTCTGCTGTTTAGTTGTGTGTGAACTTGAAAGGCGCTTATTCAACCTTTTCCCGGTTATCCAATAATCACTACACAGCTTTCTCTTGAAGCCGGGTTAAATACTGTTTACGCTTTTTTATGAAGGAATTTATTGAGTTTATTTTGCTGTGAATCAAATTAATCGAAATTAGTTACAAATCATCACAAAATTATTTACCCTGCACCGGAACCTGGAATCGAACTCGAGACGACCTCATTGGCAAACCTTGACACTACCAACTGTGCTACGCCAACACTTTGAACTTATGTAAACAAATCAACATTCCCTTCTACAACAAAATCGCTGAGTAGAGGCTTTATAATAGTGCACATGAATCACTTTTCTCGACTAGTTATAAAAGAGCTGAGTAAAAGCTGTAAAACTGCACACGACTAAAAATAAACCTAGTTGACTGTGAAAATGCTTCCGAAGTTGCTCTAACACAGTTTATAAGCTGAGTACAGGTTGTTTAGTTGTTGAAAAAGCACTTTTGATGTTTATGTTATTCAGCAAGAGTTGTTGGTTGTGTAGAAGCCATCAAATGAGTAATATATTCACTTTGTTAGCTTTGTTTTGCAGCTACAAGTGGAAAGTTGATTAGTGTGTGTATAGAAGTGACATTAGCGTTTATTGGCTGATGTTATTCAGTGCGACTGACAAATTGAATAATGGTTGTGAGAAAGTTGAGAAAACGCTATCCAAAACTACTTTGCTAGCTTCTACTTGTAGCTGTATCTGCAGCTTTGTTTCAGCTTCTTTACAGCACAATGCTGGAAAAGTTGGTTTATAAAGCTGAAAATGTTAGTTGGGAGTATATTTCGATTTTATACTATGGCACGCATAAACCATTTTTATACTAAGTTTGCATTCTCTCCCTTCACACTTAGAAAAAATCACCGACTTCGATAATTCATTTACCGAATTCTCAACAGCTGAACGGTCGGTAATGTTTTCGGTAATCTAGAACATTACCGAAAAATCTGTAAACTGGATCAAAAAAATTAGCTGTCAAATTTACCGAACGATCGGTAACGTTTACCGATGTGCATTGCTTGATTTGTAGTTGACTATACCGGAGAACTGTAATTTTGAGGACGATATGCAAATCGAAAATTACCGAGAGATCTGTAATTTTTTAAAAAGGTCACCGAGTCAACTGTAATTTGCTTTAATATTGTTTCAAGGTGGCGGTCACTGCAACCCATGCAAAAATTTGGCTGCAGCCGTGATCAATAAGTTAGTGTTGCAAATTGCACCACCAATGAACAAAACCGTTGGCGACGATCTGAAAAATTAAGTTTTTGTCGGAAAGGTTCGGCGCTAAACTGAAAACAAGGAAGCATTGGAAAACAGAAAAAAAAAAACAAGCAACAACATCGGTATTTATTTAGATAACGAAAATTAATTATTTACGGAAAATATCTACGATTCGATCATCGCTCGGTTGCATAGCAGCCTCCATAATTTCACCTTTTCTATTTTTCACAAGCACGAACGCTTTTAATGTCGATCAAAAATAACAATATGGTGGATTTGACGTTTACCTAGACCGTTACCGAATTCAGTAATGGAAAGCTTTGTTTACCGAAACTTCAGTAAAATATTTCACCGAAGTCAGTGATGAAGCTGATTTACAGACCTGCCGGTAAAAATGTTTACCGTTTTCGGTAAATTAAAATAAAATTACCGAAATTCGGTCATTTCATTTACAGTTTTCAGCAATAAAGCGAGAAAATACCGAAACATCTGTAATTTTTAGCATTACCGATCTAAGACGGTAATTTTTTTAACCGAACTCAGGGTCTCTGTTTAAGTGTGTGGATGCTAGATGATAACGTCCTTTATCAAATTATGTATGGAAGAAATCTAGATAAACATTTCAAAAGGTCCTATCTGCATTGATCGATTCTCTTCATCGACTTTCTCTTTGGTCAATAATTTAGCTGCAAAACCTTTCCCTGTTGTATTTAACGTTCTGGACGCTAGATAAGAACCTCCTTTATCAAACTATGCGGTAGAATTAGCGCGAAATCTGTTTGCATAGCAGTGGTTATGAAAAGAGAATGTCGATGAAGAGAATCGATCAAAGCAGATAGGACCATTTGTAATGTTCATCGAGAAATAGCCCAAAATCTCAACAGTGAGCATGCATAAGGGCCTATACGCGATGATCGATTCTCTTCGTCGATGTTCTCTTTCGTTCATAACTCGCTAGATTTAACGTTTATCGGTGCGTTTGCTGTTGCTTTTGATAGCCAATACAACCTGTTACTACTTTGCATTGAACAAATTCTAGAAAAATTTTTCGCTTAGCTGTAGCAATGCAAAGAGAAAATCGATGAAGAGAATCGATCAAAGTCACTTACATCCCTTTCCTTCTAACCCCCTCATTTGAATCTTTTTACGATCGCAAAATATAAGAAAAATAAATTCAATCAAAGTGTTGATGTAACACATCGTGAAGTTTACGATTTTCAGAGTTGGGAGGAAATGCCGAGGGAAATGCTATACAAAATTTATATAATATATATATATATATAGTATATAATTTAATATCAAAATGAAGCTATAGTGCGATAATTTGTTAGCTGAACATTGCATTAGGTCCTAAGTAACATTGACAGATTATCTTCGTTGACTTTCTCTTTGTATACCCATGGCCACGTAAAGACATTCCCAGGTATTTTTAGCACATAGATCGATAAAACAAACTTTTATCTAGCAACTAATATCACAAACACAATAAGAAACGGTTATGTGCTCAAGTTATTAACGAAAGAGAAAGTCGACGAAGAGAATCGATCAATGTTACTTAGGACCTAATGCAATGTTCAGCTTGAGACAAATTCTGAAGAGGATAAATTGGTAGTTCCGCTATAGAGAACGGCAGTGTGATAATTGAACATAAGTTGAAATGTAGCGAAGGGCCAATAATGAGACAATACTAATCAAAAACGCACTCCTTTACCTAGTTCATACTTTGATGAATAAGGGGATTTGAAGTATTTCCATATCCTCGACCATAACAAAACACTGAAAATGACGGATCCTCCTGCGACTCCTTCGCTGTTGTTTGCTTAATGCAAAAAAGTACATATGGTGGGAGGATTTACTAACGTGTCCGAATATAAGACTTCACTGTAGAACACGGTAGCCAGCGTAAACACATTAATGTGAAAAATTTCACACATTTCGTAAAAAAAGGGGCCTACTCATAAAATGTGTAAACTGCGTTTGCACATTTATGTGTAAGCCCATCAAATGTCAATAGATGAGTATTTTTTTCACATTTTTCAAGTACGGTTTTTACTGCAATTGTGTAAAAAGTAATCATTTATAGAATTTAAATATCACGGAACCAATTTGTGTTCATTTGAGTTAAAAATATATATGTTTATTAAATAAAAATATGAATCGTTCAAAGTAAATTAGAAACATGTTTTCAACAAAAATATGTATGTTTAAATTAAATTCAAAAGCATGTTTATTTCAACAATACATTTTTAGTGTGTCCTTTTTTTCCTTCTTGTTTACATTCGGCAAACTTAACCGAAAACGGCCTGCAAGCGGCGAAACCGAAGTAAAGGGTCCGGAAACCCACGCAAGCAAGTGTTCCAAGCTCGACAAAACCGGTGGAACCTCACAATATTAACGTCAATCCGTCGTTTCTGATGCCGATCCTATATCATCCTCACCCCACCCAACGTCGAAGGAAAAACAGATCATCCCCGAACACCAAACTTAGAAAGAGGCCGGAATGAGGACCAGCGTCAGAAACGACAAAACGACGCTCACAAAGTTTCACCGGTTTTACTGAACTGGATCGGATCGGACACCCACCCCGACGGCCTCCCGGATCCAAACATCTACAGGCTTTCCATAATCGCAGGAATTTAGATGCCTTGTTTATGCCACGTTTATTTTCAACACGAATATTTTGAAGCATTATAATTGGTTTTAAGCATTATTATCAATGGATTCAAACATAGAATACGTTTGAAATCAACCTAGTTTATGTTTGTGGCCAGAACAAACTAAGTTTACGTTTAAATTTACCTCAAATATTTTTGTTTTGACGGTAAATTTTTCTGCGTGCACGGATACGAATTTTGTTCATTTCAGCAATATAGAATTTGGGGAAACCATTTTAAGCGTGTTCTTGTTTAAATTCGGCCAACTAAACCGAAAACGATCCACAAGCAGCGAAACCGAAGTAAAGGGGTCCGGCAACCCACGAAGGCAAGTGTTCAAAGCTCGACAAAACCGGCTGAACAGTATCAACGTCACTCCATCGTTTCTGATGCCGATCCCCATATAATCCCACCAGGCATCAAAAGAAAAACCGAAAATCCAAAATGGATTCTGAATCCATTCCGGATATGAGGACCAGCATCAGAAACGACCAAACGAAGCTAATATCACAAAGTTTGTCCGATTCTACTGAGCTGGAACCCACGGACACCCACAAGAAAAGTAGAGGTATAATAACATCCATTTGGATGTCATATTACATCGCTACTTTAATTACACCGAAACAAAATTACCATTGTCCATTACGTTGCATTTGTGTAATATTCACATATTAATAACATAATTATTACACAGAATCAGATGCAACCAAGTCATTCCAAAATAGTTGTGTAATATTACACAAAATTTGTGTAATATCATATAATGTTGATGCTATATTAAATCTCGCAACACTGCCAAACTTCGTTCTGATGATGATTGATGCGCCATTTTAAGTTTGTTTGTTGTCGGGAGTGAATGTTTTTTTTTTTATCAGCGTCGAGCTAAAATCTACATGTAAGTAAAATTATGCTTAATTTTGTTTTTGAATGGTTCAATCACTCATTCCGGTTGATTTAATACGTCAAAAACACGAAAAGACCTCCCCCAAATAGCGAATCTCCACTGTATTCGAACAAGAAACAATTTCGTCTTCCTCGCCGTTTTAGCTTCTCGCACATGAATGTCATTTGTATCATTGTATCTTTTATCCTTTCAGTGACTCCACGGCAGGAACAGCTCCATCCGCATTGCTGAGCAGCACTCGTGCAATACGCTAAACGGACACCCAATCACAGGTACTAGGTACACCAAAAATTATGTTTATGTAGCGCTGTATCACATGTAAATTTTGAAAATTACAGATGCGTCGTGTATGCCGTAATAATATCCCTTGACCGACAAGATCCTGCGAAACACAGGTGAGTGCTTTTTGAAAAGAAAAAAAAAACAAACTAATTGTATGGTGTCAGTCGTATTAAACAGTATTAATATTGGCCCACCGGGTATTCCGGGAAAGCCGGAAAACCCAGGAATTTGAAATCACCGGGAGTTCAATGGGAACACCGGGAAATTTGTGCTGCCTCACAACAACAACAACAAAATTACTCGTGTTTACGTTATCGTTATCCAATTTTATACTGAACCTGAATCAAAGAACGGAGGCCTAACATTTTAAAACGGCACATAAACATTTATGAACAAACTTTTGTAGGACCTTTACACGCAACCTGGATCGATTACGCATGCAAGCAATTAACCCTTTCCTTTCCATGGTAGCACAGATGATCCACAACTTTTCGATCCTTCTTAGGTTTGTAAATTCAGCTTTAAATAGTCAGCAATGATTTAAGCTTGATGATGAAGCAGTTGTTTAGCCAAAATCGAGATCCATCTGTATTTCAATTTTCAGTATTTATCATTCTTATCCAGAATTATTAACATGCAAGGTTAGAACATACATTTTATCATACCTATGTCTACGCGGATCATACCAGGAAAATTTATTTCAAATTTGAGTTATGTCCTTGAGCACTAGTGCCATAACTGGCTCACTTACCCTATAGCAATAGAAGACATTTATGTTAAACCAAGAGCAAATTTTCATTACGTCGAATGTAACAAAGGTAAACAAAGTCGAGCTATCAGTGTCAATCGATTCTCCTGCTATTACACTATATACTGTCCGAATATAGGATCAAATCCTATTTTTAAATTTATTTGCCAGTCAAATTGCTTTTTGACGTAATCACCTTCCGATCAAAATAGTTTTCGATGTTAATTAAGTCACCCAATTTCTATGGAGATGCCGTTTGACTTAAGTAACAGCGCTGAGAAACCTGTAAAAAGTGTACGTTTGTCGTTTCGCTTTCTCATTATTAAAGTGAATAAATCGAACTGTTTGTTGCTAAGATGATTTCGGTAGTCCTAAAATGATGAATGGGCTGCACGTAAGGAGATGTAATTGATAATTCTCCCGAATATCCTGGTAAATACACTTTGACTTAAGTAACAATAGGGGCCACCAAACGTCGTATAATAACTTTTGACTCAAAAACCAGTATTTTTTAGCATGAAAGCTAGCGATTTGCATTTGTATGATTAAAACCCTGCTAAATATGTTAAACATTGCTATCACTATGAGATTATATGTGTTTACTTGGAAATAGGAATAACTTTTCGGTCATCAAAACAAAACTTTATTTTTCTCGGATTGGTGCGAATGTTACTTACGACATAATGAAAATTTGCTCTTGAACCTTCTTTAGGTGTTAGGGTCAATATGACCCGAAAAGAACTTTCGAAACAGTGTTACTTTTTATGGTGAGCAACTAGAGATCTGATTTGAAAACGGCGTTAACAAACTTTAGTGGACCCTTTACTTGTCACCCGAAGTACGCCCATACAAACCAAAAACACTATTGAGTGGGACAAATTCTCCCCTTCCTAATGATACTGTTGGTTTGCGTGGGCGTACCTCGGGTGGCGAGTAAAGGGTCCACAAAAGTTTGTTTATAAATGATTATGTGCCGTTTTCAAATGTTAGGTCTCAGTTGATTTATTGCCGATTTCGCTTTTATCTTTTCAGAACATCTGCGACGAGATGTCTTGCCTTCTTCAACCAGACGGTGAACTGGGTGAACTAGGCAGAGACGCCATGCTTTCTGGGAGCCCTCCATGCTGACTAAAACTGACAGTGCTCTACGCAGTCCCGGAGGAAGTCCATTCAGATGGCTGTACCAAATAATTGTTAATTGTCCATGGTCCATGGCTCCTACCAGCCGGTGGTCCACCCTTCAACCCGGCGGACAACTCGACGTAAACATCCGTCCTCTGCTGCCGTGTTTGGTGCGAATGAATTTTACTGCCGCCGCTAAAGGACAGATAAATATATTGAATACAATTTTTATTAGGTATTTGTTCTTTTTTCCTTCGAAAACAAACATCTTTTTGCAACGCCGTTGAATCCTACTCAGTTGCTCATTAAATTGCATTGCTATCTCTTTTCCTACGCATATTTTACTCTGCTGTAAAAACTGCGATTATTTTTAGCTCTGAGTAACTGCAGTTTTTACAACTGATTAAAATTTATGTGAGAAAAAAGATAACAAAGCAATTTAATCAGCCACGTATACCTATACATCGTTTCTTCTTTACATCGCATCACTTTTACATCGCATCACTATTACATCGCATCACTATTATATCGCTTCGTTTACATCGCATCTGTGTACATCACATTTATTACGTCAGAAAAATTACATCGGTTTTGTGTGTCACATAATTTGATCCTGTGTACATCGTACAATGTGATATTACACAACCGATGGATTGATCTGGTTGCAGCAGTTTCGATGTAATATTCAACAACTTTTTTTGCTGTGCATAACTATTTTATTAGGGAAATCCAGCAAAACAGATTTACGGCAATAAAAAATGAGTGCACAGCAAAAAAAAATGTAATATCGATCAATGTAATTCAAGCTGATGTAAACACCAAAAAAAATGTTATATTGATCCTCGTAGAGTCGGTGTATAATGAGTCACGCCAAGAGAAAAACAGTTGAACTCGCATCACGGTTTTCGAAAGATTCCAATTCTTTTCACTTGGCAACAGAGGACTTCTACAACAACTTCAAATGACTTCTAGCGAGAGAAAAAATACTGCGGCTGTAGTAAGTCATTATATCAGTGGTTTTGTCAAATTATCTTAAGAAAAAATAGTAGAAATTCTCATTACTAATCATTACCGAGCGTATCCCATGACAATTTAACACTCACTGCGTGTTTATGCTCATTTCTTCGATTATATTTTATATTTTATTGCAATACCTTTCGTGAACCTTTCATAGCATCGTAATGTTTATTTACTTTGCACGATAGGTAGCCGCTTTGACAGTTCAATAGGTAGACTTGGCTTCACTCTTGGCGTGACTCATTATACACCGACTCTAGATCCTCGTATTGATCAATGTAAGTCAAGCTGATGTATGAAATAATGAGGTAATAGCAAAAAGCAGATACAATATTACATCAATGGATGTAATTTTGATCGCAAAATCGATGTAGATTGTACAATGTTATATTACTATAATTACACCAACGATGGATTTACCTGGTTGCAGCAGTTTGGATGTAATATTCAACAACTTTTTTTTCTGTGTGTGTAGTGTCCAAGCATCACGCAGCCGTCACAGTGAGCGCAAGATGCACCACCTGGGTCCATGGTATTTTTTTTTGTTTCTCCCCGAAATGTAGCCCTGGCTGTTTTCTTGCGAAGAGCTGTCAAACCGTCGCGATCTGTCCCAAGTGCTGTCAAAAGACACAACAAAAATCTACGTTCTGTTTGTTGTCGCGGCTAAAAATCGGAAAAATCGGCGAAGTTTGTTTAAAACCGTATCCGCGGTAGGCCAAAACTGATTCGTATTTACTGTTCCCGTGTGCGCGAGTGAAGAACCTGTGATTCCGCGGGCTATTTGGCAGTGGCACCCGCGCTAGATGTTGATCGGCACTCGGACTGCTAGGCACCCGCGATGAATCCGGTCAGTTTGTACATCACAACCTCGCGGCTAGTGTTCCAGAGTGGCTGCGGTGGCGGTACCGGTGCAGGAGCTGGCCCCGGTGGAACGGATTCCGGTGGCACCAATGGAAACGGTGCCAACAGTAGTGCCTTTGCAGATCTCAACCGACTGTTGCCGTACTTGAGGAAGAGTTTGAGCTGTGCAGTGTGCTGCCGGTTGCTGCTGGAGCCGCACACCCCGGCGGAGCTAAATTGTCAACATCACGTCTGCCGGGGATGCGTCGGCGAGCGGAAGAAGCTGAAACCGTCCTGTGGCGCGTGCAAGGATTATAACCGATATGTGGAGAACACCCAGCTGAGGATGTTGTTACAATGTTACAAGAGCATTTGCGAGTACATCAAAACGAAGCCGTTTTTCGCGGAGATCCGGAAGCAAGCGACGGGGAGTACATCGTTGAATGGGCTGTCGGTGACGGTGATGGGATCTGGCGGAACGGGTGGTGGAGGAGGAACATCCATAACCGTTCCGAGCAATTTGTTCGAACTGATCGAAGAGGGAGCGCAGTTTCAGGACAACTATCGGTGTAGTTCCGGGTTGACAAAGTCGGCGTATTCGATTCTGCCTTGCATTTACCCGGCGCCGCCGGTTACGGTGAGCGCTCCGTCCACACCGGTGAGTAGATTTTTGTTTTATTATATTAGCTGTTTAGAGAGATAGGTATGTACCTGTAAATAAAATCACTCACAAACTGGATCTGAAGCATGTACGCTGCGGGGTTTAAAATTGTACAAAAGTTGTACCATTAAGTTTGAAATTATTAAATTTTCTGAAGATTTCAAATCGCAAAGTTTCTTTAAGATTAGTATTCAAAATAAACAGCTCTTTAGGAGATTTTTTTTAAGATAAATATTCACTGAGATTTTGGAAATTATGTTTCCAACCAACAATTGAAATAACCCGGCGCCGGTGGTGTAGTGGTAAGCGTGACTGCTTTATCACTCCGATAGGTCTGGGTTCAATCCCAGTCGAGGTCGGTGGGATTTCTCTGAGACATAAAAATCTCTGGTCACGTCTAGTAAAGCCGTTGGTCCCGGCCCATAGGTGCGGTATCCTACGCAGGTGTGGAAGCTGCTTTCCTGCACATTCGATTGCCGTCGATGGATGGTAATCGATGTTCGTCGGTGATTGGCACTAGATTGCGGAACAGAGACCGACGTTAAATAATGGTTAGAACTAACTAACAATTGAAAAAGGCGGAACAACCAAACGTAAACAATGGCTTTAAACGCAAATTTCTCGAGAATCAAAACACACCCACGGAAACGAACAATGTCATTCGATAAAGGAAGGCTGCTGAATCATGTTGTCCTATAACTTTAACCACGCAACATCGAAGTCGTAACACTGCAGGATCTTTGCTGGACGGGACAAAAGGTATGGAAAAGCGGGCATCGGGCAGCTACTTTCTACGAGAGCTGTGGCACCACCAACGAGCTAGGAACCGGCTTTGTAGTGATGCGTAAGATGCGCCAACGCGTGATTGGTTGGCAGTCGATCAAGGCGAGGATTAAGGGTCGTTTCTTCAACTACAGCATCATCAACGTGCACGTACGACGGCTGTTCGCAACGGGACGTCAAAATCGTCATCGGGCGACATGAACGCTCAGGTAAGACGGGAGGCAATATACAGACCAGCAAACCGGCCAAAAAGCCTACATGCCATATCGGACGACAACGGCCCATTGCAGCCTCGCGGGGTATGGAAGTCCGAAGTACCTTTTTCCCCCGCAAGGATATCCACAAAGCCACCTGACCAACACACAGAAAACCAAATCGATCTCGTTCTAATCGACGGGAAATTCTTCTCTGATATTGTCAACGTCCGCACGTACCGCAGTACGAACAAAACTTCGGACCTCTACTTAGTTGCAGTATGCATGCGCTCAAAACTCTCGACTGTGCATAACACCCGTCGAAGTCGAACGCCGCGACTCAACATTGAGCAATTGCGGGACGCCGAAGTTGCCCAGGAATACGCGCACTAACCACGGAAGAGCAGCTTGGCGTAGCCTCTCTTGAAGATGGCTTGAGGGATATCCGTTCCGCTGCGGCGGCACTAGGTACTGCGATCCCGGACCGAAGAAATGACTGCTTTGACGGTGAATGCAAACTGTTAGTAGAGGAGAAGAATTCAGCATGAATGTGGAGCGATACAGACAAGCGCGGAACAGACAAAATTCGGTTTTCCGAAGGAAGAAGCATCAGAAGGAAGAACGAGATCGGTACCGCGTAAACAACACACGGAAGTTCTACGAGAAGCTAAAGGCTACGTGTCGCAAGCCGATATGTGCAAGGACTTGGACAGAAACCTAACCACGAACGAGTGTCAGGTGATTGAGAGGTGGAAGCAGTACTATGACGAGCACCTCAACGGTGATGCAGCGGAAAACGAAGGTGGCACGGCAACAGACTTTGGAGCACGCACAGAAGACGACAGGCTACCGACCCCGGAACTTCAAGAAGTTGAGTCGGTCGGTTGAAGAACAACAAAGCAACTGGTGTAGGTCAACTACCAAGTGAGGATAAGATATAACCGGAGGAAGGGATGGAAGGTGCCGTATGCCCAATCTAAAAAAAGGGCGACAAGTTGGATTGCTGCTGAGCGCCGCCAACAAGGTACTCTCCCAAATTCTATGCCGCCGCCTGTCACCATTTGCAAGAGAGTTCGTGGGGCAATACCAGGCGGGATTCATGGGTGCCCGCGCTAAAACTGACCAAATTTTCGCAATTTGGCAGGCTCTGTGAAATTCAGCGAATACAACGTGCCCACACATCATCATCCGGATTTCCGGATAAACTGACGCGATTGGTCAAGGCGACGATGGATCGAGTGATGGGCGTTGTTCGAGTATCGGGGACACTCTCGAGACCCTTTGAATCTCGAAAGGACTTACGGTAAGGTGATGGTCTTCCGTGTCTGCTATTCAACATCGCGTTAGAAGGTGTGATCAGAAGAGCTGGGATAGACACGAGTGGTACGATTTTCAGGAAGTCCATCCAACTTCTTGCCTTCGCCGATGACATCGACATCATGGCACGGAACTTTGAGACGATGGCGGAAACGTACATCAGACTGAAGGCTGAAGCTAGGCGGATTGGACTTGCCATCAACGCATCGAAGACAAAATACATGAGATGAAGAGGTTCTAGGGAAGAGTCCAAGTCCAATTGCGTTCAGAGGTTGTCGAGAAATGTGGACTCTGAATAAGACCATTACCGGCCGGGTTTTGTAAAATCATGAAGTTTGATATGTTGCACGACGGGTTTTGGTTCTTGTTGAGAATTTACCACTTCGGTATAGCCACCATTGGTCCAATAACACCATTTGAGTGAGAAAATATTATGTTCACCGTGTGTAATAAAACTTATATTCTGTCTGTACTACTAGTCATAACCAGACGTGCTTCAATTACGATCTAGAAACCTTTAGGTTATGGGCCCAGAGTTTCCAAGATGTTTCAAATCTAGGCCGGTGTTGGAGATGGAAACGGAAGAAATATCGGAGGACATGCCGGAGCTGTAACCGGAAGACAATCTGGAGGTGGAGGCGTATCGCTGCCCATGGTCGAGAAAACTATTCTTCGTGGGCATTCGCGACCAAAATGATGCTAATCCGTGAGGGACCGTGAGACTCAGTGAATGTACCGGAAAAAGGCGATCCGGAGAATGCGCAAACACTGAAGGCATTAGCCACAATTTGCCTGAGCATCGAATCGATCAACTATAGCTTGGTGCAATCAGCGAATTCAGCGAAGCAAGCATGGGACAACCTCAAGAACGCTTTCCAGGACGATGGAATGACACGGTGGATTGGATTACTGCGTAAGTTGACCAGTGTCCGTCTAGGCGACTACTCCACCGTGGAGGCGTACGGAAATGACATGATGATTACAAGTCATAAGCTGAGCGATGCAGGCTGCAAGGTTGATGATGAATGGTTGGCCAGTCTGCTGCTGATGGGACTCGCCGATGACGACTCGATGATAATGGGCCTCGAGGCGTCTGGAAGGAAGATCACGGGAAAGCGGTAAAGGCCAAGACTCTACAAGATGTCAAGGTTTCCAACAATTCAAGCTTAAGCGGACATGATGGTGCGTCCTATTCCCAAGTAGCAAAAAGGGTCGGAATCATTCAGGAAGGCTGGCGTAAAATGCTACAAGTGCAAGCGTTTGTAGGAACTATGCTACGGAGTGTCCAATGAAGGATGAGAAGCAGAAGAAGGTCAAATCGAACAAGCATTTACGGTAACCCATTCCACAACCACGCACAAGGTGAGTTGGATATTCGCTTCAAGGAGCGAATGAGGTTCAGCAGCGAATCTGCTTGGCAAACAATGCTGTGTCGACAGTAGAGGCCGTTGGCAGCCTGAAGATTGAACCAGATGTCGGCGATGACACGTGCAATGTTAATTTGTCCAACGTGCTGTGAATTCCCGATCTGGCGATCAACTTGATATCCGTAAGATTTGCAGCAGTGGTTACACAGTAACGTTATCGAAAGATGCATGCGCGGTGCGATTGGCTTCCAACGAAGTGGTAGCTATTGGAAGAGAAAGTGGTGGACTCTATACACTATGTTTGGCAAATGAACAAGTATTCTGCGTGGCCAAGGAAGAAACCGACATGGTGTTGTGGCACCGAAGAATGGGGCATTTGAACATGCAAAGTCTCAAGATGCTCGGGTCCATAGCAGCAGGGATCGATTTCGTTGATGCAGAGGTCCAGGCTTGTATTGCGTGCTTGAAGGTCATCCCTTCAAGAGGAGCGGAATTCGTGCAGGAGAAGTGCTTGAGCTGATCCATAGCGATTAATGTGACCCGGTGGAGAATGCGTCCATCGGTGGTAGCCTATATCTCCTAACATTCATTGACGACAACAGCCGCAAGCTGTTGGTGTATTTTTTTTTTGAAGTCGAAACAGCCAGTACTGCAGTGTTTTCAAGATTTCAAGGCAATGGTGGAAAACGGATCAAGCGCATGCGGTCCGATAGTGACACAGAATACGTAAACGGTGATTTGAAAAGTTTCTTCGCAGATCCGGGATTCACCACAAGGTTACGGTGCCGTACAATCCGGAGCAGAACGGTCTAGCTGAGAGAGCGAATCGAACGATCGTTGAACGAGCTCGATGCCTTCTGTTTGATGTCAATCTGGAGAAGCGATTTTTGGGCGGAGGCTGTTTCAACTGCTGTATTCCTGTTCAACCGATCACCGAAGAAAGGTTTACGAGTAACCCCGGAAGAACGGTTTACTGGTGAACTACGGGTGTTCGGTGCGAAAGTGATGTGCCATGTGCCCAAGGCAAAGCGATCCACGTAGGATCCGAAATCTGTACATGGCATTTTCGTTGGATATTCCGAGCGTTCGAAGGGACTTATCCGTTATCCGTTATCCGACAGCTTAAAAACAACAAAGCAGCTGGGAGAGATGGTATCGGAGCGGAACTTATGAAAATGGGCCCGGATAAGTTGGCCAATTGTCTGCACCGACTGATAGTCTGGATCTGGGATACATAACAGCTACGGGAGGAGTGGAAAGAGGGAGTAATATGCCCAGTATATAAAAAAGTGTCGTGAATATCAAGTCCCTACGCACCACCTATTCATCGATTTCG